GCAGGGGCTTCCTTCTTAGCTTTCAGCGCCATCTTCGTAGAAAGCTAAAACTTACTTTTTTATCTAGACAGTTTGTTTACAGCAAATGACCTTATATTTTCATGGACTTGTTGCCTTCCCATGATTTTTGCTTAATAGTGGCTTTTGCTTCATTCAGGCAGTACAGGAAAGACTTGATTGTGAGTGGCCAAAGATTGATGGAACCATTTAACTTGTAATGTATAAACCTGACAGTATTGCCTAATGACTCAGCCTCTTTTTCTGGAAGATGTAACTTTACACCACCTCCATCCACAGGCCCTTTCAGTACTATCAAGAAACAGCTTTCAATTCCAACGGAAGTGCAGATATACTCTCCCAAGAAACAAAAACAAAAGGTATTTATGTTTCTGACTAAAAGAAGAAATATGTTCATATTTAGAATATTGACCACAAGTTGTTTGCTAAAACATGTATACAATAGATTTGTACATTTAATATTTTAATATATGAAAATATTTTTCATTTTGTGGTTTTCATATTTCACAATAGAACTTGTTGCTAATTTCTATTTTAGTCACTGTTGCAATGCATTCAATTTTTAAAGGGTGAACTGTTTCAAAAGTAAACTTCATGACACTATCAATGGGGTCTAAAAAAACCCTGTCCTGTTTAATGATTGTGAAACTAAGTAAGTGATTGCCTAAGTCTATACAAGGAGTCCACAGTCAGTGGTACCATAATTTTAGCCTTATATCTAAATGTATTTTGTATAGGATATGATAGTATAAGCTTTTATTCTGTTTAATTTGTTTTTAAGCATAGAATAAAAAGGCAAATCTCCAATTCTGGCCAAATTGTCTTAATGAGAAATTAATATAGATATTCTGTATTATCTAACATTAGAATTTCACAGTTCAATGTAGTTTATCCTAATAGAAATCCCCCCGTTTAAAAGTGCTGGACCTTTTTATCTTGGTCTTGCTTTCTTATGTTTATAAGAAAGGCTACAGAGAAAGACTTGGGATAATTGAAACTTTTCACAATAGAAAGAAGACAGCTGGCAGAGTCGTTTTCCTGGGTTTCCCCTCCATGGTCATCCTGTTTCCAGCTGCTCCCATTGAGATAAGGAGAAGAAAAAGAAAGCAAAGCAAGACAACAAAAATTTAAAATATCCAGAAAAATTAATCCTACTGTGGTTACAAAATACTGCTACCTGTTCTTCCTCATCCTTGATTTTTTAATGTCACATCTCCTCAAGACAGTCTCACTGTGTTGTCTGCCCTGCTGGGCTATTTCCCCTTAAGTGATTTCCAGGCTGTTTATGTAGCAGCATGTCATGTGACACCCCAGTTGCCATGGCAAATATTTGTGTTTCATGAAAAAATGTGGTTAAAAAAAAATATCAATGTAAATGGCCAAGTCCCAAGACAGACAGCCTTGAGGCTAGTGTTTGGCCTGCACCATTATTGTTTCAAATTCAGCTGTTTAACAGGCTGCATGGAGGCCATGGGCTAATGTGCATAATGGGAACAGGGGGAAGCACCTGTTTTGATTCTCATCATGTTAGAGTTCTCAGTTCTGTTGTTTCATATGTCACAGATCTACAGGTAATAAAAATATAACTAAATTTATGTAAGTAAGCAGTCTACAAAAAAAAAAAAAGCAAGCAAGCAATCCCAATAATGACCTATTTTGCAAGTGCTAATTATCCCTGGCTTTAATTGCTTTTCTGTTGAGTTGACAAAGCTTTCCCCTACTGCTAGGAGCAACAATATTTAAAGACTATTTCCTTTGGTCCCAATTTGATAACACTTCTCAATTGACTCTTCAATGGTAAATGTAATTATTCATGTGCTTGGTGAAAAGTATACATGATATAAATACAAGTTAAAAATCCAAGAGAAAGAATATCATATGCAAAGTGATAGAACCAGTAAAGATCTTGGATCAGTCTTTCTCAGGTAGTGTGATACCCCTTGAATAAGTCCTTTCTTGTAAATACTTCCCCAAGTATTCTCTAAAAATGGAACTTGGTGTCCTGTTTTATTCATTTTTTAAAAATATTTTGTCATACACTTTCTTCTGAACAAACAGGACTTCTGGCAAACAGAGCATCATTGTTGGAGATGGGGAAAGGTCTTACTAATTATTAGCTTCTGCCTGAAAAAAAAAAAGAGGGAACAGGCTGGCCCAGCGGGAGAAGGGGGGTGGGGGAAGCTGTGCCTTCAATTTGTTTTGTAAAATTGCCCATGAGAGTCATTGTGATTTAAACTGTGTCTCATTCTTCTTTGTAGGGGGAAGGCACAAGGTCAAGAGAGCATCATTTTAAGAAGGTCTGTAATTTGTGTGATGAGTTGAAATTTGAGGTCTGTCATCTGATGTCCCTTCCTTTGGCTGGAGGGCAAAAGTGTGGGAAGCAGGTTGGCAGCTGGAGACTGTAGCAAAAATCTTCTTTTTTAAAAAGATACTAGACTGTGTTTTTAGAGGGGAAAATGGTTAAAGTGAGAGGCTTGGTTTGGCTTGGGTTTTCCCCTTGATTGCAACTGAAGTATTTCTTAAGTTTGGGCCAGAAAGTTATTTCACTCTCAAAATTTGACTGGATCACACCTGTCTTCAGCCTCAGTCTAAGAGAGTCATCTTATAAAAGTACTTTTTTAAAAAATCTTTTATTGGCTTGTTGTTGTTGTTGTCATCAAGTTGAGCACAACACATAGCAACTCTGTGAACAAAAGACCTAATAATGCCTTTCCATAACTATTGTCATTTCTCGAAGTTCATAGAGTTTCCAGAGGCATGTGGTTTAGGAAGTGGATGCCACTCCTGCTTCCAAACCTGTTTTACAACTGGGAGCACCACCAAACACGGTCCATAATGGGAAACCATTCTGTTATTTGATGATACCCCAATGGCATAAGGTTCATCACAAGCTTGACAAAGAGTGATGTACAAAGTGGAAGAGTGTTCCTCCAGATATAACAGCACTAGTCTCATTTAGCAGTGGTTAAGTGTCGTCGAGTTGAATACTACTCAGAGTAAGCTTTGCACAAAAGACCTGAACTCTGTTCTATAACTAACATCATTCTTGTATACTTATAGAGTTTAGAGAGTTTCCAAAGGCATCTAGTTTAGGAAGTGTATGTCACTCCTGCTCCCCAGCATGAATCAATCTGGAAGGTCATCCAAACATTGTACATAATGAGTAACCTTTAAGGTATTTGATATTGTGTTCGTTCATGTACACTGTGTGGATTTTTTTTATTCATCTCCTCCCTCCACATACCAAACTCTGCACATAAGAATGAATACTGTATAAGACTATTATTGTAAAAACAGAAGGATAATCAGTAAGTGCATGGATATCCATATATACTTTTGAGAGATTAAATAATTGATTTTTAAAATATTTTTATTCATTCATTGTTGCACATTTTCTTCTGTCCCCCTCCCTAATCTCTTTCTCCTTTCACTTTGTAATGCATATCTTGTTCCAAATTGTTGCCATATACATAATACTTAATCATACATTCCTTTCAGACCATTCTTCCCTTCTTCTCTTCCAATGCTGAGTTCATTACCAATCTTTTCCTATTCTTCAACCTCCCATGTCAGTCCTATTTTATAACAGCAGTGTTATGTAGTATTTGTCTTTTTTTTTTTAGTTTAATGTCCTCCAGGCTCACACATATTGCATAATGTTTTAATGTACTTTTTACATGCCCATGTTGTGTTAATTATTTTTCAGTGCTGTGTAATATTCCATTGTGTGACTGTACCATAATTTCCCTACCCATTTGTTGTTGATGGGCACTTGGGTTATATCCATCCCTTTGCAATTATGAATAACACAACAATAAACATGAGTATTTAAAAGTACATTTTAAAAGGAATAAAAAGTGAAAAATTAACTTTCAGCATGCACATGTGCATGTACTGTGTGTAACGTAATATGTACAGCTGTAAGATTTAGAGTTAAATTGTTCACAATAACTAAGGTAGCAGGGGGGAAAGTATATATGATTTCCATAATATAGTGGGCAAATACATACCAACAAAGATCATTCCATAGGGTAATGTATGCCTAGCAGTAGCCCCAAACAAGAAGCAGGAATGCTGCCTAATTCATTACTAGTGAAGTATTTTTCAGCAGTTACATGAATTCTCTGGGCCTCAATTTCCTCCTCAAACAAATTATAGCTTTTCCATTCTTGTATAGAGTTGCTATAAGGATTAGATTAATGTGTGTAAAAGAAGCAGATGCAACGTGGGAGTGGCTGAGTCTAACTTCTACTCACTAAAAAGAGGAACTATCTCCATCAATAAAATCCATGCTGTTGTTAGATGCTGTCAAGTCAAGTATTACCTGTAGCAAAGCTCTGAACAGCCATTCTGAAACTGGCTCTATTCTTTGCCATCTTTATTATCTCTAAGACACTAGAGCCCATTGCTAAAGGAATAGTGTGTGAATCCATCTCATTGGGGGTCTTCCCACCCTACATGCTCTTGCACTGATTTCTGCCAATCATAGAGTCCAGTGTTCCTTGCAGCTTGACTCACAGACTTTATTCACAGTTGTGGGGTTTTTGAGGGAAATACGTTGGGGAGTGGGAGAGGCAAAGACTATCACATAGTGTAAATCCAAGTTTAGTCCAATAGTCGCAAGCCAGATTAGCAAGGCACAATTCCTTAATTAGTGGAAGTCCAGCTTCAGTTCAGTAGCACAAATGCACCTCTGGTTTCCTCAATCATTCAACAAGCAAAATCTTTAATTATGGCTCCATCTCCAGGGTTTCTCTGGTTACACTTGGCCACATTCTCTTCACCCTCTCTCCACCACCATCTCTCACAGTGTGGAAAGCCCACTCTTCAATTGGTCCCACAGCTGTTGATAATTTGCAAGACCATGTGTCTGAAATTAAAGTTGCTGGAGACTGTTCCTCCAATGGGAGCTAACACAATGGATAGAGAAGCCAATCTTAGAGGTTTCTGACACCACATGTGTGAAAGGGCTTTGAGAATTATAAAGCAATTATTATTTTAATGAATTTTTGAAGAGCATCTTCTAGACATCAGTTTCTTAGCAGACTTCTATCATTAAGAATTCAAGAAGGAGCTTAGTCACTCTTTTTCGAGGAAGAAAAGCCCAGGTGTAATAAGTTAAATGGTAGGCCAAAAGAAAGATTGACAGTCAAACCCACCAGCCACTCATAGGAATAAAGATGAAACAGTCACCTCTCATTATAATTTTCATCTCTGTGAATACAATCCAGGGTGGCTATGAGTTGGAATTGATCCAATAGCAATTTGTTTGTGGTTTTGATTATAGCCTGCAGAGTTCTGGTTACTATATTCACAGCAATGATTGCTTATTGTCATGAACCTAGATAAATTGCTCCCAGATAGGCTGAATCAATGTGATTAGATCTTTCCTCTGGCTTCCATCGACTTGTTTACTGTGAGGGAATTTTAAGCTGTAGAAACAGGATGTGCTTTAAGAATGCTACAGCATCACTTATCTGAAAGATTTCTAACAGCTAATGTTGTTTAAAGGATACTTTAGGCAGAATATTAAATGTTCCAGGAAGTATTAAAAGAAGGTGGAAGGAGTATACTGAGACATTGTATCGAAAGGAATTGGCAGATACAGAAGAATTTAATGAAATAACATTTGAGCAAGAGCCTATG